AAAGAAATCTTTGCTTTTTGCAGAGGTCATTCTACTTGCCAGCCTTCCTGATAAATCACAGATCTGTAGCTTCTCTCCTTTTCATTTTATAAGCGAGTCTATAAAGGCATATTGTAAATAATGGAGATAAAAGCTATTTACTCACTAGACTTTGCTGCATGCCAGCATCCCATTTAATTCCAACTTTCAATATGACTAATCCAATTCAATTACATTTAATATAAAGTTAAATGAACTCAGGTCACATTGGCAGGGGGCCTGGCAAATAGCAAGGGTGCTATCAGTTGATACCTGAGCTCTTTGAAACGTAGGCTTTGTCACTGTATTACAGCAGTCATACAGGAAGGTGGGAAACAGCCTACCCAAAGGCTACATTTTAAATAACCTGTGCTAAAATTTCTCCTTACATGAAGACAAAGTTCCAAATAGGCATCTGGTGTATGAAATTACAGTCATAGTAACTTTCCCCCCCTTTTTTTTTTGTAAATGTGTGAGGCTTGTCTTGAAAAACCTTTAAAAATGTATGAACAATGTATACTTATTTATTCTAGTTAGAGCCATACAATAGAAAGTTTTCTCAAATGCCTGACAAGCTTAATTTAAAATTGTGATCTTACATTATAAAGGGATGAGGCTTTAACAGTATGTAGTGCTTAACATTCTATATAAACAATATATAGAATTTGTTCATACATTATTACTAAGCCACAGCTCGCTTAACTCTGGCTTATTGAATAAAGTGTAACTGACTAGGATCTCAAAACAAATTAAGCCATAATACTTAGTTTATAAACCAAATGACATAGTTCAAAGTGAAATAAACACATTATAGTTTGGCTTATACGCAGAGAATGAATGAGCGAAGGGCAGGACCCATGTTTTTCATGCAGATAATTTCAAGAAGAATCTTGGCCTCACCAGAGAAAGTCAAGAAAGATGCCCACCCCAAACCTTGAATACCTGCTGCCAATCAGTGTCAAGACAGACCAATTAAAATGTTGAGGGGCTGCCATGAAGAAGAGGGGGGTCAACCTATTCTCCAAAGCACCTGAAGGCAGAATAAGAAGCAATGGATGGGAAAAGAGAGCCAATCAACTCAAAGAGAGAACCAACCTAGAAATAAGGAGAAATTAATCAGTGGAATGGCTTTCTGCAGAAATTGTGATGCTCCATCACTGCCAATTTTTAAGAAAGAGATTGGACAGCCATTTGTTTTAAATGGTATAGGGCTGTGGTGGCGAACCTATGGCATGCGTGCCACAGGCGGCACATGGAGCCATCTCTGGTGGCATGCGAGCCATTGCTGGGCCGAGCTGTTCCCTCCTCCTCTCCACACATGCGCAGCTCTCTGCGCATGCGCAGTCTGGGAATAGGCGAGAGACTATAAAAGGAGCAACTTTCGGTGGAAGCACCATTTGCTGCAGACAGTGAGAGAGCGAGCACGAGTCAGAGAGGACAGCGAACGAGCGAACGAGTGAGCACAAGCTGACAGCTCAGTGGCCATGCCCATTCAGTGGCCACGCCCACCCAGCACCCGGCAATGCATAAATGGGTTTTGGATTGCAGTTTGGGCACTCGTCTCTAAAAGGTTCGCCACCACTGGTATAGGGTTTCCTGCTTGAGCAGTAGGTTGGACAACCTCCAAGATTTTTCCAACTCTGTTATTCTGTTAAACACAGTCTCCTATGCCCCTAAGGTTTCCTTCTATGAACACAGATGGATGATCCCTGATGCTACTGGAATTATCCCTTAAATTGGATGCAAAAAGGATTTTGTTTCTTTGTGAATGCTGAGTGAATTCACAATACAGTTGCCTTTTGGCTTCCTCCTTCACTATCATTCCATCGCCCTTGCTACTTTCATTCTCTTTTTCAGTAGCAAAGGTGTTTAATTGTGCTATCCTCTCTCTGTCAATTAGCCTCACCTCTTACTTCAGGAACTTGTCTAATCTCAGACACGATGCGAGCCACATTGACAATTAAGGACAAAAATATCTCCGAGATATCCAGTTGCCAAGACAGACTAAAGGACAGCAGGGGAAAGGTGAGGGAAGCCAAAGTGACTTGACCAAGGTCACAAGGGTGCCCCTAGCAAAATAGCATCAGGGATACATATCTTCTGAGACAATGTTTTACATGTCACAATATGGGATAAGATTAATGCTGTCAAGTTATTAAAGTTGCATGCAGTTAGAGATGAAGATAGAGAGAGGGGAAGAAAGCAATATTTCAAATTCTAATGCATCACAAAGACCTGTTGTATTTAATATCTCTATTGGAGCCAGTTTGAGGAAGTGATTAAAAGAGCTGAGTTAGAAGATGCTCAGGAGGCCAAGAGGTCTGGTCCTGCCTTAGGTATGAGAGCCAGCTGGCAATGGCAAACCACTTCTGAAAAATGCAGCTTCCAGAAGTCAAGATGGATTCTAAGGCACACAAAACACGATATCCTGAAGATATCATGGATGCATCAAGAGCAATAGCCATAGCTGTTTGAGAGAGCTTTCTTGTTCATTCTATATAGTAGGGGAAAATAATACATATCCTTCGCTGCAGGTATAGTGGCTTAAATATAAATTTGGAGAAGATATCATAATGAGCTTCCACCAGTCATATCTGCTCCTTCCTTTTCAATCTTCCTGATGTTTCCTTCTCTCTCCACGTCAATGTCTATGTGGCTTAGTTTTGTGATTGCTACTGAAGATTGGCAATTGTGTCTAAATCTTCAGGGGTTCATTCTTAGTGGTTACACTGGGTTTATAGATAGTCCTCGACTTAAAACCACAACTGAGGCCAAAATTTCCATTCAGTTGTAAACTGGGTTTTGTCTCATCTTATAACCTTTCTTGCCACAGTTGTTAAGTGAATCGCTGCAGTTATTAAATTAATAACATGGTTGTTAAGTGAACCTGGCATCTCCATTGACTTTGATTTTCAAAAGGTCACAAAAGGGGATCACATGACTCCAGGACACTGCAATCATCATAAATGTGAGTCAGCTGTGAAGCATCCGAATGTAACTCACATGACCAGGGGGATGCTGCTACGGCCATTAGTGTGAAAAACGGTCATAAGCCACTTTTTTCAGTGTGGTTGTAACTTTGAACAGTTACTAAATGAACTGTTATAAGTAAAGGACTACCTGTACCTATGAAGTAGAATTAACTGTTTTCCCTCCTAATATCTAGCTCAGAGATCCCCAACCTTTTGGGCACCAGGGACCAGTTATGTGGAGAGAGGTCTTTCCGCGGGGCGTGGTTTTATGTGCTGCCTACATCCCACGGATGGGGCTTTGTTTGCGCGGCCCAGTTACTGGCATTTCACAGCCTGGTACCAGGTCACGAACTGGGGGTTGGAAACCCCTGATCTAGCTTAAGTGTATTCTCCTTTACATTCGTCTCTCTCCTTAACAAGTCAGTAGCTTTCCCAGAAGTTGATGCCATTCTGCCTTAAAGCACCGTGTTGAGATATCAGGGGACCAAAAAGCTGTCTTTATGAATGACTAAATGTAGACTAACCTAACAATAGATACCAGATGTATTTAAGTAGGTGGTCTAAATGCATGTGTCGCTTTTGTTTTTTTACCCAACCTAATCACATTACTGGCTCCTATTCAGTTTGCAATCACTCCTTTACCAGGAAATTTTGTACAAATAACATTAGCAAGCTGAGTACCCCAAATCTTACAAAAGCCAGAGCATTGGCTTTTGTTTCCTATGTGAACAGTTTTGTATTTGTTCAGTCTTACATTTCATTTTGTTATTTTCAGACCGCTTCTCCAATCTATCAAGATCATTTTAAATGTTATTTCTTTCACTTTGGATATTAGCAAGTCCTCTTGTTTTGAGTCATCTAGAGATTCACTCTTGACAAATAACATGTTGCCTTCTGGTACTTCCTGCATTGTTTTTAAAGTGTCTGCAGATTAATCAGCCTTAGAATCTTCCCACATATCCATGTTTTTCTGCGTTTTGACAAAAGGGATAATATTTACTCTTCTCCAGTTGTGTATTATTTCATAAATTTCACAAGATTTCTAAAAAAAAAATTATATAAGTCCATCAGGCAACATCTATTGGCATTAAGCAGCTATTATTTACGTAATTTTCTTTGTTTATTTCATAATACTCCAATCCTTTTCTTATAATTCTTTAGTAGCTGCAGTTCACTGTGAGATTTCATTTGCTTAAGTAAAATCTGGGAGGTTAACTTTTTTATTTGAAATCTTCCTTTGTGATCTATCCTTCTTCCCATGTCCTGTGTGTATTCTTTTTTTGTTTCAGATCTTAGTAAAGCTTTTAGTAAGCTTTTTTTTGGGGGGGGGGGGACAGGAGGGTAGCCATATTGGTCTCTTCTGCTTTCTTTATTCATGTCAGAAGCACCCTCAACATATAGACATATGGCTTCCACCCTGAGCGAGTGAAATAGGTATAAAACAGGTCATAGAAATATAGTGTGTGAGAGAAGTTTTTTAAAAGTGTGTAAAAGTTTTCTTCGTTCTTCTGTCAGAATTGTTGCAATTGTTATGCTTTTAGTATCTCCGTTTCCCATTAGACCCTTCTCCTGGATATCTATTTATCATTGCTTGAAGATATCAAAATAAACATTTGGAAGTCCAAAGGGTAATGGAAATGCAGCCCTCATTGTGTGAATCAGCCCATCCCATTAAGTCATAGTGCTGTGTATTTGCTTGAGAATGCAACCTAATGTTATTCCTATAAAAAGTCACAGAAAGACCTTTCTTAAGGAAATGGAGAAGTTTTGTGAAATGTCCTGACATTTGAATCACTCCAGGAATAGAGTAAATTGTTATGGGAAAGGTAGATGGAAGGGGGGGGGGGTATTTTTTTGCAGTAGAGGAAATAACTCTTTTAAAAAAGCAATTATTTTGGTCTCCTTCTCGAGTAGGAGATTGGACTAGGTAGGACCTCCAAGGTCCCTTCCAACCTTATTGTTCTATGTTCTGATTGGTTTTCTTTTTCTAATTATTCTTTCTGTCCACAGTTCCTAAGACGGCTCCCGCTAATGTAAGTGGCAGAAGTGGAAGACGGCATGAATTAGTAATAGCCTGGGAGGTAACAAACCCTTTTGATTAAATTCTTTGTTTCATGTTGACTTCTTTGAGGGCAAGCTCGACATTGTAGGTCAACACTAAAGTTTCCCCATAGTAAAGCTTGTCAGTGCAGATACACAGAAAAGCATGTATTCAATGTCGGTTAAAATCTCCATTCAGGTCTTAATTTAATGTATCAAAAAAAAAAAAACCAACCCCAAAACCCTACTAGCAGTTGAGATTACCTGATGTTTGTAATGTTCCCATTTTAAATATATTTTCATTTCCATTTTGTTGAGACCTTAATCCAGAGGTCCCCAATCTTTTGGGTACCAGGGACCAGTTACGTGGAGAAGGGTTTTTCTGCAACTGGAGGGTGCTTGGTTTTGTGTGCTGCCTGCATCCTGAGGATGGGGCTTTGCTTGTTTGTGCGGCCCAGTTGCTGGCATGCCACAGACCGGTACTGGTCCACGGACTGGGGATTGGGGAACCCTGCCTTAATCTGTACTTGAGATCACTATGGACCATACTCAGTTCCACATATTTAATAATGGATCTAGGATATTTAAAATACTCAAGAGTCCAATAATATGCTCAGACAACTAGAACTAGTTCTCAAGTTATAACTACAATGGAACCCAAAATTTCTGATGCTAAGGCAGTTGTTAAGTGAGTTTTGCCCCATTTATGGCCTTTCTTGCCATAATTGTTCAGTAAATCTGGTTCTCCCATTAACTCTGCTTGTCAGAAGGTTGCAAAAGATTATCACCTGCCCCCTGGACACTGCAACTATTATAAATACAGGCCAAATGTCCAAATTTTGATTACATAACCATGGGGATGCTGCAACAGTCATGTGTGAAAATGGTGATAAGTCATTATTTTTGGTACTGTTGTAACTTGAATGGGCACTAAATAATGGCTATAAGTCAAGGACTACCTGTAGTGCCTTATTCTTGGCCACTATCTGTGAGTAATAGCAATAATTGTGTCTTAGTAACTCAATTTACTAAATAATGTGGCATAATAAAAAGTAGTAATTGATTTTATTAACCCCAGCTCCAGATGGAGTTAAACAATAGCTGTTATGACTCAGGTTGACTAGGCAGATACAGGCTTCAATAAAGTCTTTTATTGCTCTGCTATCCCATAATAAATAGTCCCACAAGGGCCCAGTAAAATGCCACCCCAAATGTTCTGAAGGCAGCCACTCACAGTCAGTGCAACACAGTCCCAAAACTAAAGTTAGTATTCACCGGAGTCGATTCATAAGGCAAGAAGTCCTTAGTCCAAAAACAAGGTGTGAAGTCCACAAGGCAAGGCATTAAGTCATAAACAAGTTTCCAAATCCACAAGGTTGGAGATTGAGAGGCCACAGGGCAGAAACACGCTCTAAAGCTGAATTTTTCCAAGGGGAAGTGCATGCTGAAGCAAAATAATTGTTCCCAATGAAGACACCTTCCCCTGGCCTCTGATTAAATTAGCTCAAGCCAGGTATTCCTTGTGAGGCAGGGTGGGGCTGCCTCCTCATTAGCAGCCTCACAGACCTCCTTTGAGGTTCCTTCCATTCCACTCTCCATGCCCTCGGATGGAGTGGGGAAGGCAGCTGATCCTCATCAGAGGGATTCTGCTGGCTTTTATCACCACTGCCTGTCTACAGCTGATCCTCCTGTGTTTGTGAGGGCAGGTAACTCCCCATCCGGTCAACCATTTCCCCCAATGATGGAGGGACCGGGGACAGCATTGTCCCCAGCCCCTGGACTCTCCAGACATTCCAGGGGAGATGTGCCATCCCCAGCGGATGGTCCTGGTTCCAACTGCTCTTCCTCCTCTGAATTGGGATCCAATGGGGCCATGACAATAGCACAGGAGTCAAGGAGAGGGACAAGAGGGGAATACATCATAATATCACAATGCAAACTCCACCCCTTATGTATACTGCATCACACATACAACATGATGGGAGTTTGTTCACTATTTTTCATTATTTAGTGGATAAGGATTGGTAGCCACCAGAGATTGTCCCAGCTTTATAGAAGAAACTGCCACTTTAATTTCCAGCAATAGTACATCATGCATATTGGACACTATGAGAAATTAAAAGAGCGATTCCTGGACTCCTAGACTTAGAAATAAAAGAGAACAAGAAAAAAGTAGGGAAAAAACAAGTCAGAAAAGCAATTCAGAGGGATCATTTTTGAAAGATGTGAATTAAGGATTAATTTAATGACCCAAAGCAAGGAAATGATTTAACTGTCTTAAATGAAGGACCAATGGCATTTTTAAGGTTACTCTGGATCTCTTCCACCTTTTAAGTTTTGTTTTTTTATCTAGGATTAAAATATTGATGGCATTCCCTTTTAAGTTAATAAGAACATTCTTGCTTTCTTTTCCTTTCCTTTGTTTTTTTTCCTTTAAGGCAGTCACACTGTGAATGTAAAAAGAACCATTAATTTAACCTCCCAATTATTTAGATTACTTGAGATTGACTCTGTTTGGTTTTAATGTTGTTGTTTTTTTCAAAATTGTTGCTTATTGTTCCTTATATGGAAGAAAATACTTATTAGAAGTTCTAGTGATGTAAAATAGACCTTTATTTAAGCTAAGTTCAGGCGTATTAATTTCAATGGGATTTATTTATATAACTAATTCAGTAGGAATGCTTTCCGTGAATTCTATAACTAGTTTGTAAAGAAGACAGTATAAAATTATATTAAATACATGCATTCACAGAGTGCATTCAAATACATTCCAGTTTGTATTCTGACACATATAATGTCATTTTATTAAAATCTTGCAACATCTTCTACGTTTTTGAGATTTCCAGCTGGCAAATATAAAAGAGATTTGACAGCTAAGGAGTCATGTGAATTTTTTCCTTCTTTCCTTCCTTCCTTCCTTCCTTCCTTCCTTCCTTCCTTCCTTCCTTTTTCTTTCTTTTCTTTTTCTTTCTCTCTCTCTCTCCTCTCTCTCTCTCTCTCTCTCTCTTTCTTTCCTGTTTGCTTGCTTTTCTTTATTCTTTTCTGGCTATTCTCACAGAGTGGCTTTTGAATGACTGTTTAATAGCTAGCTTTTTTTTCAACACTCAGAAAACTTTTAACAATCTCATGGCTGAAATCAGGTGCTGTCATGAGACTAGCCCTATGAGTATATAAAAATGAAGGCTTCCAAAGGCTTACCTGAATTTCTATCTCCTGCCCAACACACTGGTTCTCTACACTGAATGCTACTAGTATCAGCCAATGATGGCTAGATACCTTTTTTTTTAATATTGTAAGGATGTCTAAATTCAGTTGCTCTCTATGGGACAGAGCTGCTAAGCTAACACTGTATCATTAAGTCATGCTTCAATTAAATCTTGGCCAACTTTTTCCAACCTTGTGCTTTAAAGAAGCTAACTAGGCATGGCAAACACTGTACTTCACCAATGAACTATTGGATAACAACCAGAGTGGAAAAGAAGGTTTTTCTCAATGGAATAAAATGCAAAAGAAATAAGTAGGTTTTGTGCCTAAACTATACTCCACAGCCTATGAGCCACATGTTGATATTTCAACACTTCCAGATCACACAATCAAAATTGGATGTTGTTATTTTGGATGTTTGGGGAGAGTTGTAAGAGTGTAGATGGAAATGAATTGGTTCTTGGAGGCCTCACATTCCCTTTCCTACCTTATCCCTCTCTCTCTCTCAAAACTCTCAAAGAACAGATAAAATCCTTCCAGTGATGTTGTATCATTATCATGATAACAAAGTTGGAGGCCAATTTGTGGCCTCAAACATTCAATTATCCACTGTTCCCTAGACATTGTTGGTTGGTTGCACAGTCAGTCAAATATTTAGACTGGAATTTGTCTCCTCTTTCCCCCAACCTACAGTTTGCTGTAGGAGGAAATGTTACATCTACATTAATCCTAGGTAGGTCTCGTAAATGGTAGTAGGAGTATAATGCTTATCAAGGAAGTCCTTTTGATTTACCTTGAAATTATGCTGCCTACTAGCAAGAGTGTTGTAACTTGTGTGATATATATCCTGGAATCACATTTTGAAATGTCAGGCAATAATTACACATAGGCCAGGAGTTATTTTTTTTAATGAACCTTTCAAGAAATCCTATTGCTGCTGAAAAAATAAAAGAGCAAAATTCTAATTACTAGGTAAACGTTGAACATTTTAATAGGAATTGAACAAGGAAGAAAAGGAAGAATCTTTAACAAAAAAAATTGCCCTATTGCAGTGACATTTTCACTGCAAGGTTCATATAAAATTGCTATACAATCCTGTTCTTTTCCTGCTTAAAGCAATGTTTTAAGGTTACTCAAAATACGCTAAATGCAGAAATAGAATATAGTAGTGAGAAAATCTTTAAGCCACTGGGCAAAAGTGCAAAATGGCACCCAGGAGCCAAATTAAGTCACTTATCTCTTTGGTGATGATGATCATGATAAAGATGATATATCTTTGCATACTGTGAAAGAACTGTGACTCTTTCAATAGGATGTTTGCTCAGCTTGCCAGGTGGTTAATTATTAAATGTTAAGGCTCTGTGAAGCTTTGATTCAAAATTCAATTAGAAGGCGATTTGATTGAGTTCCACCATTAAAAGGCCAAACTGAATTGCTGAATTGAATCAACATGTCAAGTCAAGAGCCTTACAGTCAATTTTTTTTTATTCAGTGGGGTTTTGCCCATATTCTCAATATTGTTTATTAAATTAAACTGACAGAATCAAATCTGTTTAATGCAACAGTTTTGAATTAATTTTACAAATTAGAACTTAGGTGATTTAATTAACTATGGAATGGCAATTTCTTTTCTTAGGGAACTTTATATTTAAAACAAGCACGAACTGGACAGGCCTTCTGTTTAAGTAGGCTTTCAAAAGTTGGATGCTCTCCAAACTTGTGAACTTCAACTCCCAGAATTCTTAGCAAAGGTTCTCTGAGAATTCTGTGAGCCACATAATTTGAAGTTATTCCAACTGATGATGGCTGAAATACAGCATATAGTTAAATAGAGCATCATCTTCTGCAACATAGCATAAGTGATGACGCTAAAAGTTATGCATAGAGTAGGAACAGAATGGCACTGGTTTTTAAGAATTGCACTTTCATAGTTTCCCAAACTTACATTTTCTTCCATGAGGGGAAGGGGAACAAGAAGCAGCCTCCATTAAACCTAAACAACTTGTTCAAATTAATCCTCTCTTGCATGAATTGGACAAATCCCAAGGATTTTTTTAAATTTAATTTTATTTGATTTCTACAGCCACCCATCTCAGCAAATAATTGGGTGACTCACAATTCAAAGCATATATTAAATTAAATTAAAATTTAATAAACATTTTAAAACAAAACAGTAAAAAAAACATTAAAACAGTAAAAAAAAAGTATTAAAATATCTAATTTGTAGCACATGCGACAGCAAGATATCTGGCCTGTTAACAATATAGCCAGGAGGGAGGCCCTTTGGTGCATGTAGCGCCCCAGTCTTGAGAGCATAGCCAGGTTTTTTTATTAATAAATAATAATAAATGAACATGTTTTTCTTTAGCCAGTCTCCGAAGAATTTCAGAATGGGGAAGGCTTTGGATACATTGTGGCTTTCCGACCGAATGGGACAAGAGGTTGGAAAGAAAAAATGGTCACGTCTTCTGATGCCTCCAAGTTCATCTACAGAGATGAAAGCGTGCCTCCCTTGACTCCGTTTGAAGTGAAAGTTGGAGCATATAACAACAAAGGTGATGGACCGTTCAGCGCAATTGTTGTGATCAGTTCTGCTGAGGGAGGTGAGTACATCAAGCCCAAAGATCAGCTACGTCTTCTAAGTCTTAGCCATGGACCTTGCCTAGCTCAAAGGGGTGACAAATATGGAGCTGAAAGTTGTTTGCTGAATATAATAAGAGTGCTTGATAATGGAGTCAAAGCATGTGTGAAAACAAATAGAATCTTTAGTGAATCTTCAACACTGGGCAATGAACAAAAATCCCCTTGGTTATTTTAATGTGAATATAATAGAGCTGGAAGGGACCTTGCAAGTCTTCTAGTCCAGCCCCCTGCTTAACCAGGAGAACCTACACCATCTCAGACAGATGATTGTCCAGTCTCTTCTTAAAGATCTCTAGTGATGATTTCTGGAGGCAAGCTGTTCCACTGGTTGATTGTCCTCACTGCCAGGAAGTTTCTCCTTAAATCCAGGTTGCTTCTCTCCTTGATCAGTTTCCAACCATGGTTTCTTGTCCTTCCCTCTGGTGCTCTGGTGAACAACCTGATCCCTTTTGCCTTGTGGCAGCCCCTCAGATACTGGAATACTGCTATTATGTCTCCCCTATTTCTTCTTTTCTTTAGACTAGCCAAACCCAAGTCCCGCAGTCGTTCTTCGTATGTTTTAGCCTCTAGGTCTTTGATCATCCTAGTTGCTCTTCTCTGATTTTTTTCCAAAGCCATAAAGACTGTTTGTAGTCACAATAGAGTTGTGTTGATTGAGAATATGATTGTAAAAACAGCTTTGAATGAATATTATACCATATTTTTCCATGTATAAGATGCTATTTTTTCCGACAAACAACCTGTTAAAAAAATCAGGTGCGTCTTATACAAGTGCAGCGTCTTATACACAGAAAAATAATGGTAACCTCCACAGCCCAGGGCATGCCTGTGTGGGTTGCCATGCCACTTGGTGTAGGTGTCTAGCCCCTGTGGGCTTGACACAGGACGAGGAGGGGGCAAGATCGTTGGCTTCCGGATTTGCCGGCTCAGCTGTTCGGTGCTCCAAAAAGCTGATTGGCACGGAGAAACTTGCATGCCAGAGCATCTTATACAAGGGTGCGTCTTATAGACAGAAAAATATGGGTACTCACTTTTTGTCCCCTTTTTGGGACAAAAAGGATTTTTTTTCTTTTAACAACCTTGTAGGCCCTCCTGAATGGAGCTCAAGCATTTAGTGGCCAGATGCCCTTCCTGATGCCTACATGGAATTCGCATTGGGACAAAAAGGAATATGGATCTGAAAATTAATATGTAGTTATGTTTCCCAGGAAAAATAGAGTGAATGATTACAAGCTATACATTAAAAATGAAAGGAACTGCAGAAATTAGATGGATTTGTGTACCTTGATAGCCTGTTTACTAAAGATGGATATAATGGATGGAAAGATGCATGCATTTCCAATGTTACGTGGAAGTGAAAAATGGCAAGAAACATAAAAGAAGTTGAATACAGCAGGAATTGGGTATATCGTAAAAAAAAGTGTGGTAAAACAAGAAGAGATAAGGTTAAGGATATGGCTAAGAATGAACGGGTGCTGAATCATTGGGACACAAATGAGTAACCACTATATATATTTTTAAAAAAGCATGTTGAAGGGATGTGGTTTGATACAGAGTAGAATTAGTCCTAAATCACAAACTAAACCTATGAAGGAAGAAAGAATGGAGTGAGATGAAAAACCAAGAAAGTTGGTGGCTGGATGGAACTAACAGAAAGAGAGAGGTGAAAAATCTAAAGGATTAAAGGTAATGTATGATGAAGGACATGTAGGTGATACAAGCAAGGGAAGGTTACAAGAGATAAAAAAAAACATACTGAGCAATCTAGTAAATGGAGTTGGCATAAGTTTGATTTAGCTATATAGATAATCCTTGACTTACAACAGTTCATTTAGTGTAGGGGTTCCCAACCAGGAGTGCTCACACCCCCTGGACGTATGAGATGATATTCCAGGAGGTGTGAAAACTTGGGTTTTCAAAATTTTAGTGTATATGCATAATTCATTGCCATTATTTCAAACTTTTGTAAGGGGTGCAAGAATATATCAGAAGTGTTCTAGGAGTGCGGGGTATAGAAAAGGTTGGGAGCCGCTGATTTAGTGACTATTCAAAGTTACAACAGCACTGGAAAAAGTGACTTATGTCCATTTTTCACACTTATAACTGTTGCAGTATCCCCGTGGTTAAGTGATCCACATTCAGATGCTTGGGAACTGACTTATATTTATGACGGTTGCAGTGTCCTGGAGCTGTGTTTACGACCTTCTGACAAGCAAAATCAATGGAGAAGTCAACATTACTTAATAACTGTGTTACTAACTTAACAACTGCAGTGATTCACTTAACAACTGTGGCAAGAAACATCGTAAAATGGGGCAAAACTCACTCAACAACTGCCTTGTTTAGCAACAGAAATTTTGGGCTCAGTTGTGTTCATAAGTCAAGGATTACATAAAGTTTCTTTTACTTACTTTATACCTCAATTTATTGGGCTTACTACATCTTATTGCTTATTGTTCTTTGCATAATGTCAATATGGCAAGTGTCAATATGCTAATCTTTTACTTATAGGTGCTATGTTTCTGAACATTGTTTCACTGTACACCTAAACCCTAATCTGTTATTGGCAGTACAAATAAGCTTCATGAACACTAAACTCAGCACCACAGGCCCTTAACTATATAACTAATGGCCTAACGGCCTAGATTGTTTTGGCAATTTTGTATGCATGGAGATGGTAAAGTCTGGCTGTATTGTAGGTGAGCTAATATAATAATAATATTATAATGATGATGATGATGATGATGATGATGATGATAATGTTGGAAGGGACCTTGGAGGTCATCGAGTCCAACCCCCTGCTCAGGCAGGAAACCCTACACCATTTCAGACAAATGGCTGTCCAGTCTCTTCTTAAAAACTTCCAGTGTTGGAACATTCAGTTTCTGGAGGCAGGTTGTTCCACTGGTTAATTGTTCTAACTGTCAGGAAGTTTCTCCTTAGTTCTAGGTTGCTTCTCTCCTTGATTAGTTTCCACCCGTTGCTTCTTGTCCTGCCTTCAGGTGCTTTGGAAAATAGCTTGACTTCCTCTTCTTTGTGGCAGCCCTTGAGATATTGGAACACTGCTATCATATCCCCCCTCGTCCTTCTCTTCATTAAACTAGACATAGATTTATAAAGTTGTCTGTGACCACTTACAACACAGACAATAATGGCTGCTAAAAAGGAATGAAGTGCATCTGTTTAGCTGATAGATAGCTTTTCCTTAACCTATCTCATAAACTTGGATAAAATATTTTAGCTGAAAAGGAAAAGTTAAAATGTTAAAAGGTAAAGGATTCCCTGTCCAGTCATGTATGACTATAGGATGCAGTGCTTATCTCTGTTTCTTGCCTGAGGAACCCAGCATTGTCCAAAGAAATTTTCCGTGGTCATGTGGCCAATATGGCTATATGCCAAAGGCGCATGGAATGCTCATATCTTCCCACTAAAGTGATCCCTATTAATCTACTCACATTTGCATGCTTTAAAACTGCTAGGTGAGCAGGAGCTAGGGCATGTAACAGGAGTTGACCCTGTTGCGTGGAACTTGGGTGTTGAACCTAGATTGCCAGCTTTCCAGCTGATAAGCTCAGCATCTTTAACTGCTGAGCCATCACACCCCCTTACAAGAACATCTTTTAATTTGTCATCAGCACATTTCACAGTTTTATTCGCAAGATGAAATGTTCCTGTTATCTCAGGACCCAGAATAAATTAAACTGTATATGACTTTGCAATTAGGGCTTTCAACAATACACCATTAAATTCACTAGCTGCAGTGCTGCACATAGTGAGGCTCCATAAATCTTAGCAACTTTCATTATGGGCAAGATAGAAGCCATTTTTAGTAAACAATTTTCTCTTCTTTATGCTTATATTCTGACTATTTTATAGAATCTCAAATTACCTATTCCTAGCAATCAGGTTGTTGCTATTTCAAAGATAATATTTCCCTCCTGACTATTCTGCATTTACTGGAGTCTAACTGTCTGCCTTCCATGCACTTTGTACCAACTCTGAAAATAATGTCCCAATGATAACTAAACCAAAACTTCTCCTGTGGAAAGAGGATCTTTTAAAAAGGTTCTTAGTATTGGATTAAAAGTGGTCCGATTGTTTAAGATTATCTCATCCCTTTATCTATTGCTTGACATCCATACTACTAAATAATTTTCTAGAACAGTGGTTCTCAACCTTTTTAATGCCGCGACCCCCAACCAGTTGTAAGTTGAGGACTACTCAACCGGTCGTAAGTCGAGGACTACTCAACTGGTGCAGCACCGTTTGCAGAATGGGACTTTTGGCGGGCTCAGCAGGGCAGAGACAGCCTGGACAATTCCTATTGGCTTTTGAAAGCCAATAGAATTAGACTCTATTCAAGAGAGTCTATTCTATTGGCTTTCAAAAGCCAATAGAATAAAAGGGAGTAGCACAGCTAAGGAAAAGGGGGAAAAATGGCAGACTGCGTTGTTTGGCGACCCCCGTGAAATGGTCGTTCGACCCCAAATGGGGTCCCGACCCACAGGTTGAGAACCACTGTTCTAGAAGAATGAAATGTTACAAAGGCAAGTGAACATATGCATGAATTCAGTATTCATTGTTATCAAGCGATAGTTGGAACCGGAGCAAACTGGGTGATCATCTAATTTATGATGCAACAATCATAGCTTATTTACTAGTACATTACCATCCCTTCTCCCTCCTCTGCCATTCATAGCAACATTTAAATTTAAGTTGCCAATTCGGTAAAAAGTTGTACTTTCTTCAATGACTCTTTAAAAAATAAACTAAAATAGAATGGAGAATATATTCTTTCATTAGTACCCACAGGCTCTTGGGAAACAGCACATACTGTATAATCTCTACAGCTCTGGCATATCCCCCATCCCGTTCCATCATCATCAACCACTCCCTGTTTATTCACAAAACTCCAGCTGCTCTGCCAGTTCATTACAAATATGCCATTTATATTCATGAA